ACCAAACAAGAAGAAGAAAACCCTACAGCTTTAGCCACCTGATTTTTGCAAACTCATTCCACCTAACCATAAATAAGGCATGTAACGTGAATTCTAAAGGACAATCATGTCCACCTTTGCATTAAATTCTAAGCTGCTTTTCTTCCTTGGTGCTGGTTATTGCAGGTTTACAGAAGTTCGGCAGAATGAGATTGTAATAAAGTGAAATTATATTACTAGGTCCTACCAGGACAATTCTATCTTTTGGTAGGTTTAATCTCCAGACTCCAGCAAGATGTACATTATGGAGACAGATAAATAATCCACTAAACTCTGCCCTTATAACTCATTGCAAATAGTCCTTTTCCAATGAAAAAGAAGGCACCAATCACAGAACAAAGGTCCATGTTTCTCTTTTATGTTCAAACAGCATATTGAATTGTATCTCAAATTTATGCAGAGAATCGAGGTGTGCCAATATCTAACCTGTGCTTGAGGACTTGGTACCTTGTCGACCTGAGGTTCTGCTGATACAAAATCTGCATCAGCAAACAGATCAACATCTGCAGAACTGCCGTTCTTAACAGAGGTTTCTGCAGGAACGGATGTAGGTGCATCCAAGAGATCCCCCACCAAACTCTGTCCAAACAGATCGACCTGGCTAGAGATTTCAGCAGTCGACTCTGCCAATTATGGAGACAATATGCAAAAGAAAAAAACAATAATATGCACCTATATAGAAAGAATCTAGGAAATCTAGTATATCAGATGGTGCCATGAGAAAAAAAAAATTATAATGGGAAAAAATAGCCACTTACTACTTCTCGAATTTCCCCGTGGATCAAAATCATCATCCAAGTCATCATCAATAGAAATTGAATTTGGTTTACTAGTCTCTCTCAAGTTTGCTGAAGTTTTCGATTCATCAGGCGAAAACTTAGGCTGGCCCTTGCTGTAGTGAAAGCAATTCAAACCGGGAAAATAAAAGTCAGACTGAGAGATCAAGATGCAATACACCAGGGTACAATCTATGCTTTTAACTGTATACTACAATAAAAAAAACCTTAAGAGCCTTCAGAATTGTCAATTGCAGTTCAATTCAGACGTAAACGAATATGTAAAAATCCTCCAACAGAAAGGAGACTTTGTTTCAAACCTGCGTAAGCCAGTAGAGCCCTTGTTTACGTTGCTTCCACTATTACCATCAGCATCACGTCGTGGTACATATGCATCCTTATCGGTCTTTTTGTAGCTATCTTTGAAACCATCAGTATCTCTCCCACCACCGAAGCCCCCATATCGATCACTACTACTATAGCTGCTACTACCAAATGAGGCTGAACTTGCCCTGGAAGTGATTCCAGAAGACGAAAGACCAACATACCTAAGGATGGCCAGGTATAAAGATTCAGTAAATAAAGCACTTAACCAAGCAAAGCAGATACAAGTTATAGTTCCCAGTCCTTAAAGCAAAAAACTCACTTGTCACGATTGGCAGCAGCTTTATTCCTTGCTTCCTGTATCTTCTCCTGGTTATTCAGAAGCCCTACGATAGTTTCAGCCTTCTTCCTCACATTGATCCCCACGTCCTTCCCGCTTGGCTCAACATATTCAAAACTTGTAAGCGACTGAGCCCACGAACATAAAAGGTGACAGAAAGTTATAAGAGCAAGTTACAGATCCACAAAAACCCAGTGAAAACAAGAGAGTTACTAGTAGTTCTCACGGAGATCTGAAAAGTGTGCTCTATAATGTCATCCACAGCGCGCTCTGAACCATGTGCCACCAGATACTCTATGACAGACAATGCCTGGCACCGAACCAATTTAGTTAATACACACTAAAGGGTTGTGGAAAAAGAAGATAACTGTTGCAGTGACTGAGATAAGAAAGCTTTTCTGTTCCCTTTGCAAACCTTGTAGACAAGACGCCAATCTTTGCCCGTCTCGCCCAATCGCGTCCACAGCACATTCATAATCATCTGGCATTCAGTGCTGAAGTAAATTGATATGACAACACATTAGAAATTCAACCAGGAATGAATCGGAAAAAAAGGAAGAGAAAGCATTACAACATAGCAAGTAGAAAGTACAAAGAACTGACAATTTCCTGGTAGCCAGAGAAATCTCTTGCAACGCAGTGCCATGAGGCCCCCATGGCTCATCGTTCGTGGCATCCAGTACCTTCACGAAAGGTAACAGATAATTTGGAGCAGGGGATACACACACCATAGAGAGAACAATCAGAGAGGAACCCAGCTCCCTAATCATTCGATTGAAATTAACCAATAAGAAAAGCACAAACACTGAGTTAACTACCTTCTGTTCGATTTCAGGAACCTTCAAAACCTTGAGATTAACTTCTCGCTTTCTGAAAGGCAAGCCAAAAGGGTTAACGAATGAGTCGAGAAATGAAAAGGACGATGGAGGGGGGAAATGGCGGGTAGAATGGTAAGCTCACATTTCGCGGACAGTCTGATCGATTACTTTCATGAAATCCATGGCAGACGGATCTGTGAAATCGAAGAACAGAAACCCATAACTTCAATTTGAATTATATAAAAACCCAGAAGGGGACATTAGATCTAGGGAGCGAGGGGGCACCTTGGAGTTCAGATCTTGCGAAGCAATGGATATGATGATGATGATGCGGCTGCTTGATAGTCGAATTCTTTTCAAATGTTTTTGTTAATGAGATGATAATGATATAATTTTCAGGTGAATCGAGAAGGAACGGAGCCGGGAAAAGGCTCCTCCGTTCCCGTCGGTACTTCCGTTTGGTTTTGTTTCTTTTCTCCGTTCGTTTGGTTTTCGGGTTTGGAGGTTTTTCTTTCTTGCCTTTTCAACACTCACCTTTTCATTCTTCTCATCCGGTCTCTTTCTCTATTCGTGACCTTGTGAGTGTTTGGATCGCTAAAAAAACACTCCTAAACGGACATACTTTTCCATTCATGTGGTGTTTTTGGCTGTGGAGGTGTGCAACAATTGGTATCATATCAAACTAACATTTGGATTGGATCATATTGGTTAAAAAGTAAAGTGATTAGATTTTTTGTTTCGTAAAATTTGTAAATATTGAAGAAATTATAGTTTGGTATTTGTCAGATCAAATTGGATTCAAAGTAATGATAGTTTGGTTCCTAATTCTGATATTGTTTTTACTATTATATAGTTGTTATCACTGTTTGGCTTGGCTCGTATTGAACCGGACAACTGCACATCTATAGTTGGAGTTTTTAACATTTATTCGTATGAGTTATTTGGGTGCAAATAACCCGTTTGACTACAAAAGTTGGTGATGAGTTATTTGTAGTTGAGTTAACTTGAAATAACTCATTAATGAGTTACTGTCAATACCTCTTTTTTTTTTTTGCCAAAAGATAATCGATATATTGATCAGAAACAAAGGTAGTTACATCCTGGCATTTAGCCAGGCCAGCAGATTAAAGCAACGACTTGTAGTCGGGTACAACGAAAGAGCCTTTCTAGCCACCAAATGGGCTGCCCTATTACTACGCCGACCTACAAACCGGACCGAGAAACCTCCCATCGAACCCAGCACTCCCACAATCTCCTCAAGAAGCTGCCCTGTTACTGTCAATACCTCAATGGGGTAGTTATTGTGAAATGACTCACAAATATCACATTTTCATTTTGTGAGGAATTTCACTTTTATATTAACTCGTTACACAACAACTCATCCAAACGACCCCAATTGTTGGTTTCCTCCTTTGTATGGGTTATAGGTGACAAATGGATTAAATTCATGTATTAATGGATTTATAAATTGGATGAAATAATTTCGTGTATAGTTGTATTTGTGGATTGGATTAGTGAATCCAAGCATTAAAGCAAAGGAGACAAAAGATAAGCCACAACAATTCATTCATCTGGGAGGCAACCCAACCAATGCAATCTGGTAGCCAACAAGTTGAGACGCCTATACACGAACACAACCATAATCCAAGGAGAAGCCTGGAGACAACAAATGATCCGCGCCAGTAATGCCCAAAAAGTGCCAAGGCCGAAGAGAAGGATGTTGTTCCAGAGCAATCGTTAATCTTTGACAGCCAGTCTTGATAAGAGTTTGGGTCAACTCCTGCGCTGCCATTGAAACCACACCAATAATAGCATATGCTTCCGATTGAATCGATAAAGAACAAAATAAAGTATCCGCCCTGCCGTCATACACCTGGCCATAAGTAAGGATTATGTGTGCTACATTTATGTGCAACTCGGTTATCAATCATAATAATCATACTAACTTATAATACTAAATTCATATTTGGCACAACTTAAAGCCAATCTTGATGAACAAGGTCGCCTACGACATCATAGTCCAAACCATAAGCATGTTGGCATACCACTACTAATGGGTCGCCCTCGACAATTACACCTTGGATATAAAGATTAGAAATGAACAATTTATTTTTATATAGAATGGTGGTGCTTCTTGAAGATGCGTTTCGTGGTTAGCAAGTAGCATCTCTCAAAATACTAAACCGTCAAACTTTTTTGGTACTTGTACTGATATATGGTAGTGTTGGGCTACTCGTTATGTATGGATTTTGTTTTAGCCGTTGTTCACATACCTCTTTTATCAAGAATTTATGACAAAATATCACTATGATCTAAATGATACTGAGAATTGTTGATAACAAACATTCAACCCTCAATACTTCGATGACACTTACATCAAATTCGATCTTAGTTCGTTCAATCTCAATTCAAACTAATTGTAAAATATATAAAAAAAAGTCCACCTGAACCCGGCTGCAGCTTTGCAAAACCACCCAACTCCGGTCGCCGCCGTCGTCACCAACCACCGCCACACGTCGCCCCCGTACGAGCAATTTGTCAAAAAGTGGACTAGAGATAGAAAACTACCGCTCCCCCGACCCGACTCACCAAGCAACAATAAAAAAAAGGAAAAGAAAGGAGAAAAAGAAAGTAGTTAATAAACCTTTTTTTTTTAATTCTGACAATTTTTTGGGAATTTCATTTCTGTTTTCTGTTCCCACCCTTTCTCCCTCTCCTTCCCTTCTCCACAGCAAAGAAACTTTTGCTCGAATACCCTTTGTTTGCTTTCCCATTCCATCTTCTCACAGAAAGAGAGAGAGAGAGCGCAGAGAGATAGGTAGACAGAGAGGCAAAGCGCAGGGAACGAGCTGAAAGGAAATAGAGAGAGGTAGAGGGAGAGAGGGCGTAGCTCTGAATCTGATTTCTAGGGTTCTTCCGAATCCCCAAATTTACCATTTCCCAATCCATTGCTTCGCCGTCACCACCACCTGCTTCGTCTTCGATTTCGGCCTTGGACAGCTTTAATGGTGGCGTTGTTGCTGATTCGCTGCTGCTTGCTTCTTCCCCAATCCACACTCCCCTTCTAGATGACTCCACCTCCACCAACCGAATGGCTCCGTTCCTCCCCTCTCTCCTCCTCTTCGCCCTCCTTGCTGTCGCCGTCGCGGGTTCTTCTGCTTCTCCTTCTTCCGATTCCGATGAATCAGCAGCCTACCTCTCCCTATTCCACCAAGACTACTCACCGCCTTCCCCTCCACCTCCGCCCCCGCACCCTCCCTCCCTCTCCTGCACCGACGACCTGCATGGCCTCGGCTCCTTGGACACCACATGCCAGATAGTCTCCGATGTCAACCTCACCGGCGAGGTCTACATCCAGGGCCGGGGAAATTTCTACATCCACCCGGGCGTTGCTTTCAGCTGCCTCACACCTGGGTGCTCACTCACGCTCAACATCTCCGGCAACCTCACTCTAGCTCCCAATTCCTCCATCATCACCGGCTCCTTCAACCTCTTCGCTTCCAACGCCTCGTTCCTCAACGGCACCTTCGTCAATACTACTGGATTCGCTGGGAATCCGCCCCCGCAGACCAGTGGCACCCCGCAGGGTGTGGATGGCGCTGGCGGGGGCCATGGGGGGCGGGGAGCGGCTTGCTTGGTCGACACCACTAAGCTCCCCGAAGATGTCTGGGGTGGGGATGCTTACTCTTGGGAGAACTTGCAGGATCCTGCAAGTTACGGCAGCAAAGGTGGGAGTACCAGTAATGAGGAGGATTTTGGTGGGGGTGGTGGTGGAATCGTGAGGATGTTCATTGATGAATATATAGTGGTTGATGGGCTTATTTTGGCTGATGGAGGCGACGGAGGTTCCAAAGGAGGCGGCGGCTCTGGTGGCAGCATTTACCTCAAGGCGTATAAGATGTAAATACTAAAATCTTCCCTCTTTTCCCAATCTTAATTACTGCTATCAGTTTAATTATTATATTATGGCTGTTTCCTATTATTTCATTCGGGGAGTTAAGAGCACTTTTGGAAACTTCTTCTTTTGATTGAATTAATTACTGGTTTGGTAACCGAATGCAGATGTGCGACCGTGGTTAAGCAGCGGCATGCTTTGTATTGTCTTGAATTCAAGCCCATTTGTTTGAACTAGGAACTAGGAATGCATGTTCAAGAGTCGGATTAAGTATTGTGACTAGGAATAGACTAGTTAAATAAAGGCTAATTCCGTGATATATGTAGTATCTGTCTTCCCCTGAATGGTAGTGCATGCTGTTTACTCCAAAAAGCTTTGTGCTCCTCCTGTTGGTATTTGGTGCAATCTATAAGGTTAGATTAGATTCTTTAGTCTCGCTAGTGTTTAGTAACTTTGTGATGGCTAGGAAGATTATGCAACTGAGTTCATTCAGCACGATAAACTTGGCAACTAAGCGGGGATCAACCTGCATGAATTTCCCTTGTGTCTTTGCATGCATTTGTAGTTGTCTTTCGACCTCCTGGTTCTTAGACCTTAGCAATCTTGCTTGCATAGTTATCAAACTGGGTAGAGCTGGTATGGATACATCTCAACTTGCAATGTGTTGTGACTTTTGACATAGGGATTTGTTGATTATTCTAAGGTCCTTGCATCCTATGTTTCTCGTGTGCTGTGCAGGACAGGAAGTGGCCGGATAAGTGCTTGTGGGGGCAGCGGTTTTGCTGGTGGTGGTGGAGGGAGAATTGCTGTGGACATTTTCAGCAGGCATGATGATCCTCGAATTTTTGTGCATGGTGAGTTTTGTTGTGTTGTTTCCTATGTATGTATATATTTTTTGTTTTAATGATGAAGAAGGTCATAAATCCTGCTTTCAGCTATTGGATATTTTTTTGGGGTGGGGGTGAACATTTGTGTTTTTATTTTATAATTTATAACGGTGAAGGGGTGAATATTTGTTGATAGACAGATTTCCCTCGTTTCATTTGTATATTTACAACTGGAATGTGAGGTGCTGCGCATGTAGTGTAAATATGTCAACGACCCCAACTTGGTATTCCGACGTTTATAGCTCGTCTCATTCACTAAATTGTATGGGAGAATTAAAGTACCCCACCAAGGCACCAATTCACTTTAAGATGTTAAGGATTATCGTTTTATGTTGTCACTGTCTCTTTCTTTCTGCTTAAATTGTTCCTCCCTTATCCTCCATATGTTCTTTTCTGACTTCAAAATTCTGAATGATTTATTCTCGTCCTTTCTTTTTTGTGATGCTAGGTACATTTAGTTTTGTACTTTGTACTTTGTAGATTTAGTTTGTTTTATTTCAGCCCCACAATTACTTGCCTCTTATTTTAAAAGCTTTTAAAACAACTTTGTTGTGCACCGTGTTTCTCCATGATAGAAATTAATGAACATGCATGGATTCTTCCACCATGCAGGAGGAAATAGTCGTGGCTGTCCAGAAAACGCTGGTGCTGCTGGGACGCTATATGATGCTGTTCCAAGGAGCCTTATAGTTAGTAATGACAATCTTTCAACAAATACCGACACTCTTCTTTTGGAGTTTCCTAATCAACCCCTTTGGACCAACGTCTATGTTCGAAATCGTGCACGCGCTACCGTTCCCTTGCTCTGGAGTCGTGTTCAGGTTTCTGAACTCTTAATTATTGCTTGGAAATCTCTATATGTGCCCTTTATTGTCATCTCTGCTGCTTCTTGTTTCTTGTCCTTTTCTGTCTAGGAGTGAGTTTGTGGATTAATAAGACAGTGATTTTTGATTGATGTGCAAGATATGTGGTAGACATTAGAAATGGGGTGCTTATATTGTATATAATTGGAGGATGCCTATTTTGAGTCCCATATAGTGGGTTTGGATGTTGAACAATGTCTCCTTTTTATTAGTTGCAACTGATTCTCTGACGATCGAGTTATTGCAGTGATAACAAATTTGACAAGGGAAATTTTGAATCACTGATTGCTTTTATATTTTGCCCTATGAAATGGATAGTCTTTTGAGCTTGGTACTAGAGTGATGCAGTAGCTAAACAACTATGTACTACACCAGACATATGTCATGCCATCATTATAAATAATGGAAAAGCTAGCAGACTTCGCAGTGTATCTGACCTTCATTTTCACATCGTATTGACAATTTAAGTACTGTGATCATTCTCAGCTCGATCAGATGGCATTGTGTTTTTCATGATAGTTTGTTATCTTTTGTTATGCACTCCAAGCTATCTGTTAACTTGATGAAGCTTTTATTTATTGCAAGACTATTAGGGGAATGAATATCTGTAGTTCAGTATGTGATTGCATCTATATTTATTTATTCAAATTGTTGTGGTTAGATTTTAATCCCTGTCTAGGAAACTTCTTCATATGCTAACAAGTTGGGATGATTCTTAACAACACATAGGTCCAAGGACAAATAAGTCTATTGTCTGGTGGACTTCTGAGCTTTGGGCTAGCTCATTATGCTACTTCTGAATTCGAACTATTGGCTGAAGAACTATTGATGAGTGACTCAGTGATGAAGGTGAGTGACAAAATTATCTCCAACGTTTTTGGTTCAGGGGCTGTTCAGGTTTTAAATGTTGTGTCCAGGATTAGATTTTCCAGCAATTTTGCCTTTGCACTAGTTGTATTGTTTTCCTAAGAGGTCACTCTGGTGTGATTCATGCATTACGCATTGCTTCATCTTCTGCATTCTGATGAAACATGAACATTATGATTCTTTTCTGCATGTACATATCAGCAACTAGCTGGATGACTAAATATGTATGCATTGGTCTAAAATCTTATTGTTGGTAAGTTTATTTCCGTATATGCTTGTTTGCAAGTGGTAGATTGTACTTTGCTAATATTGAGAGGTTGGTCATTCTTTTGCATTGCCCTCTGTAAGTTACAGCAGCAATCCCTGTGGTAAGTTTATTCTGATTCCAACTGTATCTTATTTTTCGCTGTCACTGAATGATGATGAAATACTGTTGTTTTACTTCTCTGGTATGATTTTAACATGTGCATTTCCTATTTGATATCCAGGTGTATGGGGCTCTACGCATGACTGTTAAAATGTTTTTAATGTGGAATTCCCAAATGCTCATCGATGGAGGTGAAGATGCTGCTGTTGCAACTTCTTTGCTTGAAGCCAGTAATCTAGTTGTTCTTAGGGTATTTTTCTCACTTCTTCCATTAACTGTTCAAGTTGTTACTTTATGTGGTCATGTCTGACGTGCCATCTTGTCAAACAGGAGTCATCGGTTATACAGTCCAACGCAAATTTGGGTGTTCATGGACAAGGTTTGTTGAATCTATCTGGACCAGGTGACAGGATTGATGCCCAACGTCTTGTCCTATCACTGTTTTACCGTGTTCATGTAAGATTCTTTTTTGGTAACTGGTGATTGTATCTCGTGGACGTTGTCATGATAAATCTCACAGCAGTTTGTCAAGGTGGTTTGGTTGGTTTCACAACATTGATAGAAGCGACTATATAGAAGTGTGCTTCATTTCTATTTGAACTGCGTGTTAGTATTGATACTCAATTTTTTGGGGCAATATACGTTGTCAAGCACTTTCGTGCGTTGTCAGTTCCTTTTGTTTTTCCGAACTCTTTTTTTTTTATGAATGTTTTTCCGAACTCATGATCTCTTATTAGAATGTTTTTTTTTATGAATGTTTTGCATACTTCAACTATAAAAGTTGTTGATTGCTGTGTCATGAGCGAACTGGGCACTGCAGTCAAGGCTCTTATAATTTGTGTGCAGGGGTTAAGTTCTTGCTCTGGTTGCTTTTTGTAACAATTTCTGCACTAATTTGTACAGGTTGGTCCTGGATCTACTTTGCGTGGTCCTCTGGAAAATGCAACAAGTGATGCTATGTAATTGTTGCACTTTGATTTTCCGTCCCCCCTCTTCAATTCTTTGTCTATTTGTCTTTTCCTTTTCATCTGCTCATACAGGTATTTTTTACGTTCCAGTACTCCACAACTCCACTGTGAACTTGAAGATTGCCCTGTTGAACTGGTTCATCCTCCTGAAGATTGCAATGTGAACTCATCGCTCTCATTTACTCTCCAGGTGATCACTAGTACCTGAAGAACTTTCTGATATTTGAATTCCATTTATCTTAAGCTAATTTATATCCTGAGTTGATGTAGATCTGCCGAGTTGAGGATATTACTCTTGAGGGACTTGTAGAAGGATCTGTAGTCCATTTCCATCGCGCAAGAACTGTAACAGTTCAACCTTCTGGAACAATTAGTGCGACTGGGACAGGTTGGTTCCTCTTTTCAGCCTTGTTTACAATTTGAGAGGAAAAGAATATCATTAGCTGCACATGCTATTGACAAGCATACTGAACCTAATTGTCAATATGTTGATGTACACATGAGAAATGTATAGCTATTTTGTTGATTTGTTTGGTAATTAAGTGTATCATGCTGATACAGGTTGCACGGGTGGTGTCGGAAGAGGTAGTTTCTTGAGCAACGGAGTCGGCAGTGGTGGTGGCCATGGTGGCAAAGGTGGGCTAGGATGTTACAACGATAGTTGCATTGATGGTGGCATTTCGTACGGAGACCAATACTTGCCTTGCGAACTTGGTAGTGGAAGTGGACATGGAAACTTAACTGGTACAACAGCAGGGGGTGGAATTATAGGTAAGCCTATTCTTGACGTAATTTCCCATTATGGACCAATTAGCTTTCGTCATATCAAATTAAGAGCACATTTCGGAGTACTATGTATCCATAACTCCATATTTTCTGTCAGACATGCTCATAGTTTTCTGTGAATTGACATCTAGAGATATAAAATCACTCAGGGGTCGTTTGGATTAGGGAATGTGAAAATGAGGGATTTGAGTTAAAATCTCTCAATTAAAAACCCAGATATTTAAAACGTGGGATTTGGCCAAAATAACTTGTTTGGAAATGGATGAAGGATTTTAATAAGAAAATTACAATTACAATTATATCCATCCCTAACCCACCTCCTTACATCTGCATCTGTTTCTTCTTCTTCCCTTTCCTCTGCATTCTATTTCCACTATCTTGAACCAAAAAGAGCAACGATCAACAAGATTTGGGTTCCTCCGTCATCTTCTTTCAACAGACATGAAGATTATAATTCCCAACAGCAACTAGAAATCCTAGAAATTGATTTGTGAACTGATTCAAAATTGGACACCATATCTGCCAAAATCATGGAACCAGAAGGAAGAACCCAGATTTCCTCTTTCTCGAGGCTAACAAATCCGGCGAAAAACAATCGACTTGATTCACAGGGATGCAAGAAACCCATACTTGATTCATAGATTCAGAAACCCAGATAACCAAAAACCAAAACACAGATTCGTCCCCCACCATGAAAACGGAATGGTATCCTCGGCGGCAACGACGACAAGGACAGAGAACTCCCTGGTCGGACTCTGACCTCTTCTATTATGTGTCCGGCGGAATAGAGGTTGAATTTTCCGACTCATGCCACCAAACAACAGCGATTGCAACACCAACAAGATTCGTCGCAAGTCTGTTCGGCGCAGAACAGTGACAGATCGCGACCAACCGGTACAGGGGAAGAAAAGCAGAGTGGGGGTGACCCCAGTGAGTCGAACGACGATGGCGAGTGGCGATGACGGTTCAAATCGGTTGAAAGAGAGATTGTCGCTGGTCAACGGGTATGGAAGGGAAGATTCCGGTGCTGGGTATGGGGGAGGAAGAAAGGCAGAATGGAGAAGAAGGAAGGACAGGTTTGGAAGAAAGGTAAAAAAAATGAGAGATTTCAAAATAGCTGACCTCCATTAGCTATTTTAAAATCCCACACTGGTAGGTTTTTGAAATTCCTGATGCCAACAATTTCTCATATTCCCAAACGCAAGAATGTTTTAAAATCCTGCACAATGAGATTGTTTTAAAATCTCTCACAAATTCCTCATTACAATCCTTCATCCAAACGACCCCTAAGTTAAATGTGGTCTGAGTGCATCGTGAATATTTTATGTTAGCTTCTGTTGATACATCAAGCCTGTTGAGTTTGCAACACCTCATTTTGGATTTTGACATGATTTAGTTTATTCACTTTGAGGATTCAAGTATCTCTCTGATCAGTTGATTGATCATTGAATTGTGTCGATATTTTCAACCTGCTTGAGCAGTGATGGGTTCTCTGGAGCATCCATTGTCAAGTTTGTCTGTTGAAGGATCAGTAAGAGCTGATGGAGAAAGTTTTCAGCAAACTGTTCAAAATGGGATGCTTGCTTCTATGAATGATAGTGTCGGGGGTCCTGGGGGTGGTTCTGGGGGAACCATCCTTATGTTCTTGAGGACGATAGAACTTGGTGAGGCTGCTTTTCTTTCAAGTTCTGGTGGCTATGGTAGTCCTCAGGGGGGTGGCGGAGGAGGTGGGGGGAGGATTCACTTTCATTGGGCTGACATTCCAGCTGGCGATGTTTACCAGCCGATTGCCAGTGTGAAGGGAAGCATCTACTCTAGGTTTGTACCAAATCGATGATAATAAATTCTTTGATTTCTGGCTACCCTGGATTCCCAGTATGATATAGAGCAGACTGCAGATAGTATATGTACATTATTGAATGTTCAATTTCTGTCCCTAGTTTGGGTTCTCTGGTTTGGAAAAGTCATTGGCTCATTATAAATTGTAGCACTGCCCTGTTTCTATTGGTGCCAACTGATGCTGCAAAATTCGCTGCTTACTTTTCCATTGTTGTCTGGTTACATGAACCTATAATAGCAAGATGATTGTAAAAGTGAAAACTTTGTCTCTTATATGGGCATCAATTGTGTTAATTATCCTTGTAACTATTATTTCAGGGCCGGGTTGGGGAAGGACGGAGGTGGTTCTGGCGAAAACGGAACAGTAACTGGAAAAGCCTGCCCGAAAGGACTATATGGAGTATTTTGCAAGGTATCATAACGATTTCTTAGTTTTTTTCACAAGGTTCTTTGACGATGGTTTTCTTGTGATTCCTAATCTTTTAATCTGAACACTGGAATCAACACTGCCTATGTTACTCTCATCTAGGAGTATTGGTTGGTAGGGCTGGTAAAATTTTCACGAGGTTTCTGGTAGTGGTTTGTATGTTCCTGTAATGGTTGGGGAACTGTTGCAAGTCTTGGAAATGGATGCTTCAGCTCCTAAGCTATGAAGCTGGAAAGAGATTGTTTCCCTGACCTCTTGGTGTATTTGGATGCAATGGTTTTGGGTAATTTGTACCCATGAAAGTTCCAATAATGAACAGTGATATGATAAATGTGTGGTCGATTTCATTTGACCGGATAAATGCTGGGATCATTCTACACAAAGTGAGTCCTGATAAAATGACAATTTGATGTGTGCAGTTAATTTTTTCTAAACTCAGTGTTTTCTGATAATTACTTGGTAAATAAGTTTTATGTTTTCTCTCATTCTCTGTTCTTAACTTTTGCAGGAATGTCCAGCTGGAACTTACAAGAATGTTACTGGATCTGATCAGACTCTTTGCCGACCCTGCCCAGCTGATGAGCTTCCTAGTCGTGCTCTATACATTTCTGTTAGAGGTAATTTTTCCTTAATGAAAAATACCGGTCGTTAGTTTTGCTGATTTCCTTTCGAGCTTGTGATTAGACTGTGGGTTGCAAGAGACAACAGGACATGCTGAAATCAGTCTTAAAGTTCTACATTCTTATTGAGCTTTGAATCAGTTGTAGAATGAAGTGCTTATGGAAATTAAGGTTACAGTATTGGTGGAGGAAGCTGTTACTGAATCACCCTCACCCATAAAGTTTGAAATGTTAATTTGAGTAGGCCAATGATCTAGTTAGTGATAGACCTTTGATCTGTTGCCCCACACCACCAGAGTCACTAACGTTAAATGATTGTCTATGTGAACAGGTGGTATTGCTGAAACACCGTGTCCCTACAGATGTATTTCCGATAGATTCCACATGCCGAACTGTTATACAGCCCTTGAAGAGTTGATTTACACATTTGGTGGACCATGGTTGTTTGGACTTCTTCTTCTGGGTCTGCTCATTCTTTTGGCATTGGTACTAAGTGTCGCCAGGATGAAATTTGTGGGTGGTGATGAACTATCTGGCCCAGCTCCCACCCAGCACGGTTCTCAGATTGATCACTCATTCCCATTCTTGGAATCATTGAACGAGGTTGGTTCCCGTCCCTTCAACATGTCACGGGTACACTCTGATTGAAGTTGTCACGGGGCTGCCTTGAAGTTCAATTTGCTGCTGTTACTCCTGTTCCATTTTAGGGCCAGGTTAAGCTTTTGATTCTCTGCTTGTAGGCTAATGACTTGAATTCCCTTTCTCCAGGTGTTGGAAACAAATAGAGCTGAGGAGTCCCAGAGCCATGTGCACAGAATGTATTTTCTGGGTTCTAATTCTTTCAGTGAGCCTTGGCATCTGCCGCATTCACCCCCTGAGCAAATAAAAGAGATTGTGTAAGATATTGTCTTCACAGTATGATTATTAAGTTCTTTGCTGCCTTTGATCTGCTTAAAGGACTTCTTATATTATTATCACTGTTCCTCTCTTATTCTCATAACCTTGCAGATATGAAGGAGCTTTTAATACATTTGTTGATGATATTAATGCTATCGCTACTTATCAATGGTGGGAAGGTGCAATCCACAGTCTTCTTTCTGTAACGACATATCCCTTGGCATGGTCATGGCAGCAATGGCGACGAAGGGTCAAATTGCAGAGACTACGGGAGTTTGTTCGATCAGAGTATGACCATGCTTGCCTACGTTCTTGCCGCTCTAGGGCTCTCTACGAAGGGATTAAGGTCTGGGCATTTACGTGTTGTGGTTATTCGTTTCATTTTCCTCTCATTTGAAGTAATCCAGTATTGCGCTTGGGGATAGGCTGTGCTGACCAACATGATGTAACGGTCATTAGTGATAGAGTTCCTTGCTCTTGTTATGTGACAGCTAGAAGCAATACAAAAACTATCTGCATTTAGATTGCGGACATGCATTTATGACAAGTCTCCAACTCTGCCACTTGTGTTCTCGAAAAGAGAATATTGTGTGTATTTAAAAGGAAAGATGTTGGGTGTGTTTGTTTCTGATAATTCTGAAATGGTAGCAAGTATTTCTTAAGTTTCAGTAGAAGTAAAGAAAAAAGAATGAAATTGGGTTCTGGAAACAAAGTACATTCACTGATTGAAAACCGCAAATGTTATTTCAAGGGGGCAGATCCTTTTTTTTAATAACTTGCTCAACCATTTCGGATGTTGGCAACACTTGTGCTCTTGGTTTGAGTGTTCAGTTTTTATTCTTTTCAGAATAGATCATATTGTTTGCTCTTGATTGGCTGTTTCCATTTTTTCAGGTGGCTGCAACTTCTGATCTAATGCTCGCATATGTTGACTTCTTCCTTGGTGGAGATGAGAAGAGAGGTGACCTTCCTCCTAGTCTCTATCAAAGATTTCCAATGACTATAATTTTTGGAGGTGATGGGAGCTATATGACTCCCTTCTGTGTTCAAAGTGACAATATTCTCACCAGCCTCATGAGTCAGGTAAGCTATCTAACTTAACTTGAAAAGTAGGTTATTGATATTTAGTCTGTTCAGATTCAGAAGGACGACTGGGTAAATCAAGCATTTTTTTTCTGGGTTGCAGCTGGTCCCTCCCACTACTTGGTACCGGATGGTGGCTGGTCTGAATGCACAACTTCGATTAGTTCGTCGGGGGCATCTGAGGTTAACCTTCAAACCATTGGTCAAATGGCTTGAAACACATGCCAATCCTGCTCTGAAGGTGCATCAAGTACAAGTCGACATTGTCAGGTTTCAGGCTACATCTTGTGGTTATTGCCAGTACGGACTTTTGGTTTATGCTTCCGATGAAGAAAACCAGCATGCATCCAGCGAGACTCTGGAAGATGCTAAGCAAATCGCACAGCAATCACGGTATAGCTTTATGGAACCTTTGGTGTTATGTTCTTCTATTCACTTGTGTGCTGCCTATTCTGTGTAGCAGTCGCTCCCTATTTGACTTGTTTGTTGTCCTCACATTGTTTCATTTGACTTCCTCATTATTCTCTGCAGTTAAAGGTCTAGTTCCTATGACATTTCATGATGAGAGCCCATATAGGGAAAACCATTTGTTTGCCTCATGGCTGGCATATGAAGCTTATTCATGCCACTTAGTTACAAACGTTATAAATGATGATTGTGCTTGAAGTTGAATCACAATTGTCGGATAACACATAGTGGCACATTGCTGCACACAGTGCCATACTTTGTTCTAAGTTTTGTGGAAGAATTTGGTGCTGACGAATTTATGTTTGGGCCTAAATGCAAACCAGTTTTGACGTATGGAAGCACTCTTTAGGCGTACACAGTTTATCTTGCAAATGCTTCTTTTTGTTTGAGAGTCTGGTCTCTTTTGGTCAACAGCATGAAGAAGACAGATGGAGAATATGCACAGACTCTCTTTACCCAACCCAATAGAAGCAGTGAGAGTAATGCGAGGCAAAGGAAGAGCCACGGGGGTGTAATTGACGTTGACAGTTTGAAAACACTTGAAGAGAAGAGAGATATATTTTACCTTCTCTCTTTCATAGTTTATAACACCAAACCAATTGGTCACCAGGTATGAAAGCGTACCTTCTGCTCTCCCTCTCCCTGATATTTTTCTTTCTCGTGCTTTTCTGATGCCTAGATTATTTGTTCGTTGGCAGGATCTTGTTGGTTTGGTAATCTCAATGCTACTTCTAGGAGATTTTAGCTTAGTGTTGCTGACTTTGCTCCAGTTATATTCGATCTCACTTGGGGATGTTTTCCTGGTTTTATTCATCCTACCTCTGGGTATCATTCTTCCATTTCCTGCTGGGATTAATGCTCTATTCAGTCATGGACCTAGACGGTCTGCAGGCCTAGCTCGTATCTATGCTTTGTGGAACATTACCTCGTTGATGAATGTTGTAAGTTAACCGCACATTGGTTTTTTTTTTGGCTTTCTCTGCTGTTCTTGAAGTGTGTTCGTTGAATAATTTGGGTTCCTTTTTCCTTTTTGGCGCAGGTTGTTGCATTTGTGTGCGGGTACATCCACTACAACAGTCAGACATCATCAAGCAAGAAGTTCCCGTTCGAGGCATGGAATATCAGCATGTAAGTGTATAATTTTATTTATTCCTAATCCCAATCCAATTAGTTATGCCTATCCTAAAACAGGACGAGGGATGCTATTATCTATCAGTTATTCCTTATCCAGCTAAGAAAATGGCTTAAAATCCAGTTTGAAATTCCTTATCTTTATGTAAAAAATGCTTCATAATCCTCATGCTAGGATCCGTAATCCAACTAGGATCCGGATTCCTAGTCCAAGATTTCTGGTTTGTAAGAATCATTTTGGTAGTACAGTAACGAAGCATTTCTGTTTCGTAGCCTTTCTGTTATGCATTTGTATTTTGCGCGGCATTTATAGAATGCTATTTGTGATGGCGTCTTTTTATCTTCATGAGTGGTGATTTTGTGTTGTGGGTGTAGGGATGAGAGCGAATGGTGGATATTCCCCGCAGCGCTGGTTCTGTGTAAAATGGTGCAGTCCCAGCTCGTGAATTGGCACGTGGCGAATCTCGAGATTCAAGACCGTTCACTGTACAGTAATGATTTTGAGCTATTCTGGCAGTCATGATTCCACTCCCGTCGTAATTTACAGAATACATAAAAAATGCTAAATAGTTAGATACCAGGAACAGTGACTCCTTCCCTCCCCCTTTCTTTCTTTGTGTTTTTTACCTCTTTCCTTTTGGGTCTCTACACAAGATACTAGGAACAGGGATAGGAAGGAGAAAAGGAAGGGGGAACTAAAAAGGACAATTGAAAAAAAGTCGTAAAAGATGAGCTAACAGAGAAATCCTTAATGTTTAAGTCTCCTTTGTTCACCCCGATTTTTTGGGGTCGAGCGAAGGATTCTGGATTCCGTTTTTCGGTATATTTTGTCTGAGATGTTAATTCACAGTTGACGGAGCCCGTTTATTATTTGGTGGCGGGTGATTTATGCATCGGTTCGGTTGTACATATGATGGGAGTAGCAGTATTAGTAGTAGTTCATGACTGTTGTAGTTAGCAATCAGTGGGAGACTTTTCCAATGTACTGTTCAGTTGTGACTATTGTGTCGTAGCAAATGATGTATGAGAGAGCAGGAGTAACAGGGTGAGTGGAAGCCAAAAATCTGTTTGGTTTTGTGGCCATTTTGTTTCTGTTTGGAGGAAGAAAGTACTGTTTTTTCTGGATTCTGTGTAACTAAGATTGGTTGCTAACATTCATAATGAATAAAAGTTAGTTATGCAACACTTCGATTTTGCGAATGCAGTAGTCACGTCACCAGCATGCTTTTACCCCAATCGTCTGCATCCGTTCTCATTTACAACACTTCCCTCTCATTTTGGTTTTCCTCACGATGAGGCAACCGTAGGGCGAAACGGATCGATTATCTTTTGCCCGTCAGATTGGCCAATCTTTCTTGAAGATGAGGGTGGACAGTGTGATCGAGGTGAGAGTAGGTGGTGAACAGGTTGTAGCAATGTTAAATATTTGCAACTCTTGACCGACGAGGTGTTGCTCTTTCTCAGCCTTGCTCAGTAGGATCAAGAAAGAAAGATCTACCTCATTTGCAGCCCTTGGGTGTGAGTCTATTCGTCTACTAGAAGAAAGAGTTAGACTTAGTTGGTAAGAGCTCCGAGCGATCACAGGTTTCTCAGACATATACGATGATGGCGGTGAGTGTTCTTCATCTTTGCTCAGCTTATCATCTACGATGTGACTCCCCTTGTCACTAGAACTTTGTTTTCTTTTTGGTACACCGGAAAATGAAATCGCAGATAACTAGTAACAATTCTCCAGTACCGTGCTCTGTTTTATTCAAATCAACAAGTGTTCTCCGGAAACGACATTAATGGCCAAGTTTAGCCCATTTAAGAAAAATAATGTAATTAGAGTTGTTCGGCCCATGGGCCCCTTACCCAGTCAATCCAAACCCTGCATGCCCGGCCCATTATTGTTGTTAACTGATCTGTAAGTAAAAAGAAAGAAAAAAAGGGAGGAAGTAGGAAAAGGAAGCCGGAGGGGAGCGAGAGAGAAACGGAAGCGCGACCAAGTCTGCCGGAAAAGCAACGGCGACTCCAACGGCGGTAGAAAACGAAGCAAGCAAACTAGCCGCACAAGCCCAGGTTGAAGAAGAAGAAGAAGAAGAACAAGGGAGCAGCAGAAGCAGATAACAATACAGTGTTGTGTGCCCATCTACCTCTCAATTCTCATAACCGAAATTCAGAAACAACGATGGTAACGCGTTCTAATAGGAATCCTGATCAGCGCACACATAGAGCACAATGAATGCCTAGGGCTAGTGTTATGGTTTTGCTTGCGAAAATTGATTTCTGCATGTCTTTGGGCTTGTGATTCTAGTTTCAGCTCGCTTACATTTCCCTTTTTCTCCTCTTCCATGGCGGTCTCAGTTCTCGATCGCGGCAATTAACGATACTGACTCCACGCACCAATCGGAGCCCTTAGCTCCCACGCAAGAAGCTCAGGCACTTCTTCCCGTCCTCCATTCCCTGTGCTCCTTTTTGCCTTTGGACGATGAATTCACATTCTTACCACCTGTTTGCCTGCAGGAATCTCATCTTACACAGACTTACCACGATGGTCTCCTCGAATTGCAAGCTAAGCGATATGACAAGGCTCGCCATCTGCTGGAATCTGTTTTGAGAGACCCTCTCATCTCCAATGCCCATGAGGTAACACCATCATTCTTCTCCTCTCCTTTGCTCGGAGTGTTGTTTGCTTAGCCCATTTAAGAAAAAACTCTCATTTCATCATTTTCCCTTCAGGTGGATGGTAATGCAAGCGATACTCATCTGCAGCAGCTCAGGTTTTTCCTCCTTCACCCCACACCACCTGTTTCTGCCTTTTATCTATTTTTCCTGTTGACCCTGCCACTAGTTAGCTTACGGTTCTAGTACTACGGGCTGGGGTTTATTGTTATGCTGTTTCCTGCTGTTTGTGATTGCAAACTAGTTTATTTATCCCTACCTGCTCACGGGCAGATATTTGGCGCTAAAGAATCTCGCCAATGTTTTCCTTCAGCAAGGATCAGCTCATTATGAGAATGCTCTTCAGTGTTACCTTCAAGCTGTCGAGATTGACACCAAAGATTCTGTTGTCTGGAATCAGTTGGGAACTTTATCGTGTTCGATGGGTTTGCTCAGCCTTTCTCGATGGGCGTTTGAGCAGGGCCTTCTATGCAGCCCTAATAACTGTAAGCATTTTCTCTTGCTTGTTTCACATACTCGAAGTGTCAGTTCTTGTAGTTCAAACCCATGAATGATGCTTCCTATACCTCCTGGTTTCTTCATAGACTAATGTTTCTTGTAAGGATAAACTGAAATTTCTTCTCTTGCGTTTTTTCAATGCAGGGAATTGCATGGAGAAGTTATTAGAAGTTCTTATAGCAATTGGTGACGAGGTCCCTTGCCTTGCTGTAGCAGAGTTGATTTTGAGGCACTGGCCTTCTCATTCTCGTGCTTTGCATGTGAAAAGCACTATTGAAGAGTCAGAGGCAGTTCCATTTGCACCTAGAGGTATTGATAAACTGGAACCAAAGCATATCCGCCTTAAGTTCCTGGACAAGAGGAAAGCAACTGAGAATTGTGATGAAGGTCGAGCTAATAAACGGCTGAACCAGACCATTGAGTTGATGCTGCATGGAGTTTCGTGGGGTGCTCTTGTTGATGCTCTGCTGGAAATCCTACATCCGCTCAGTGCGCGTGAGACCGATGTCAAATCTGATGAACGCAAATCTGGGGATATGAGGTTAATTATACAACCACCATCCAATTTAGATATTGATATGAGCTCTCCTGAAACGAAAAGGCCGATTAACTTTCCTTGTAGTTCTAGTCAATGCAAGCCTCTCAGCAGTAGCAATTCTGAAAGAGTTGGTGCTATCAAGGAAAGAGAAAGACATAGTTTCGATGAACAGCCTCGTGAGAGGAGGTGTACTCACCTCGAAAGGCTTACGAGTCGTAAACCTGGGAAAGAAGAAATGGATGTTGGTGACAGGAAGGATTTGGTCAGTTTTGTACTCCAGTATCTAGATCCTTTTATAATTGGCACACCATCAGTTGAAAGTTCTGAGCATGCAGTTACTTGTTCTGCTCCACACGCTGCCGAGGCTAGTTCACCTAATAAGGAACTGAATGATGTTTTAGCATTTGTCAAAGGAACATCAAGAAATTATGGTGCTTATGATATGGCCCACTTGCTTATCGAACATGTTTCAACTAGTGGTCTTATGTGCCAGGATGCATTGCCCAAACTCCTTGAATTGGAAGGGCTGACAAGAAATTGGGGGAAAGATAGAACTCCTGAATGCAGTCTTTTTCTGGCTGAGGTGTATTATGACCTTGCATTTTTGCCTTCCAATGCTTCGAAGCTCTCAGATTTCGTATCAGAAGCATTGTATCATCTATGCAAAATTGTGGAATCAGTAGTGCTGGACTATCCTTTTCCCCTAACCCTTGAAAATCAGGGTGGAAGTTGGTCTGATCACTCTAGTTGTTCTGATCTCATTTCTATCGATTCCTTGTCAAGTGAAAAATGCAACTTCTGGATCAGGTACTTTTGGCTGAGTGGGAAATTATCCATCTTTCATGGCAAAAAGGCAAAAGCTTATGAAGAAATATTTGTTGCCTTGTCACTGGTCATGAAGAGGGATAGAATGAGTGATTCTTCGGGGAGTCTTAAACTATCTCACAAGGTTAATAAAGAGTTAACCCTAGAGAAGATCCTTCATGAAATATATTTGCTGAAAGTTGATTCCTTGCTTGAGGAGATTGTAAGCGAGTTTTAACAGAGAAAGAGAGGTATGTGGAATGCATAAATTTACTTGCCCCCACTTCTATTCTCTGTGGATCATGTTTACCTTGATGTGTTCTCATCACCTGCAATAGATGATAAAGATAAGTGATTCAAATGCATTGAGCTGAAAGCACTGGATATATCAACTGAAGCTGCTAATACTCATGCTACTAGCCGGGATGGTTCAATTCAATCACATCAGGTTCAAGCTCCCGACGGAGTCAGTGTTGGAAGAATTAAGCACCTTACATAATAACATGTGATTGAGACAGCTAACATGACGGGTTCTTGCCTTTAACCAGGCTCGCTACGAGGAAATAATTGCAGATCCGAGTTATCTGGATCGAGTATTGGAAGATGGTGCGACGAAGGCTTCAGATATAGCAGATGCCACCCTTAACAACGTTTATCAAGCAATGTGATTCTTGAGAAGATGACCCCAATTTGATGATTGCTGATTGATTCATGTGCAGAGATCTGAAGAACTCAAAATTTTCACTCATAAAAGAATATTTGTCATTCATTTCCCAACAATTATCGGATCATGGCCTTTTAACATCACTTGAGCCAACTGATGTTATGATTGTTCATTGATTAGTTCTCATTATCAGTGTTTCTTGACCCTTGTAGTGGTTTATTTGTATAAAGTCCTGATACTTGAGGTCACTGAACAGAGAACCACATGCTCTTGTCGGTTTTACCGTTGGTTCGATTAATGAATAACATACCGTTGTATGCGTCCATTTTTTTAGAATTTATTTTTTTTAATGGCTAGTCGTTCGTAATTGTGTGGACAATGAGATAGTTGTGGACTATGCAGCATATAAGGATTTGATAATACAAGGAATAATTGATTTATGTTATCGTTCCAATTTTATCGGACGCCGAGAACGAATTATGCTATCGTTTGGATTTGAAGGAATTTTTTTTTTTTTTTTTTTGGTAGAAAGATAGACGCATTGCGTCTAGTTTACATTAAAATTACGATCATGGGAAGTTCCCAAAACATCATGGCTGAGCCATTGGACAAGGTCTCTATCGCACACATTGAAGCGATGTGTGCCAAAATCGAAATCGTGAGCCTTGCTAGCCAAGTAATCGGCTGCAAAATTCGCTTCCCTAAACACATGGGAAACACAAACCTCCCAATCAAGATTAAAAAACAAATCGAACTGCTTGGCTATGCTTCCATGTCGATGATCATCTCTGTCACATTGTTTGATGATGTCAACAGCAGTAGTAGAATCAAGTTTTAGCTCAATCTTTCGGTAACCTTCCTTCCAAGCAATCTTGAGGCCTTCCAAGGCACCTTTGAGTTCAGCAGCCGTGATAGAGCATGAACCCAAGTTGCAGACATAAGCCCCTTTACATCTTCCCAAATAGTCTCTGAAGAGACCCCCTGCTGCTGCTTTCCCTGTCTGAGTGATAACTGATCCATCAGACTGAATTTGGATCCAGTCTTCTCTGGGGGGTTCCCAGCAAACCAGTCTGCTCTGGACAGTAGCAGAGTTAGAACAAGTGGTCTTCTGCGCGTGACGTTTAGCTTGTTCAACAATGCAGAACCACGCTTGAATTCTAGCAATTAAACTGTCCCTGGAGAATATCCTGCCTTCCATCACCTCCTCATTTCGTTGCTTCCATAAGTGCCAGATTATGATGCCAAAGTCAGTACCTGTCCCTTGCTGCCTAATATTGTCCATCAGCCAATCATGCAGGGGAAGGTTCATGCTGTTAGCCACACATTTGTCATTAAACTTATCCCAAATACTCTTAGCTCTGCTGCAGCTTCTGAGAATGTGCTCGATGGTTTCATCTTGGTCCTTGCAGAAGTTGCATTGACTGTTGGTGGAGATCTTTCTTCTGGTTCTTTCCTTGTTAGTGAGTAGCCTGCCGTGCATAACAAGCCACAAGAAGTGCTTGATTCTGTTAGGGCCCTTCCATTGCCAGAGGTCTTTCCAGCGGCTTCCAGGTTCATCATCCTCATCTCCAGCAACAAGGTTGTATGCTGATCTCAATCTGAAGCGACCATCCTTTTCCATTCCCCAAATATTTACATCATCTCCAAGGTTTGGGTTTGGGGGCTCAATACCTGCAATAGCCACAAGCATTTCATCAGGTAACAAAGGTTTGAGTCTGCCCCAATCCCACTCACCATTATGAGAAATCCAATCAGCCACCACAGTGTTCCTGTCATCCTCAGAGATGTCCCCAAGTGCAAACTCCTCCAGGATGATATCATTGTCCACCCATGGCTGAGTCCAGAAGTTGGTGGTCAGGCCATTTCTGACACTCCAACAAGTGGCCTGCTTCATGATGTTCATTGCTTTAACAATGGCCTTCCACAGGTTAGAGTGGTTGCTCTTCTTCATGGATAGGATCTCTCCATTGCTGTGCTTGAAGTATTTGCCCTGTAAAACTTGAACCCACAAGTCAGACTCCTTATTGAGCATATTCCAACCGAGTTTAATCATAAAGGCCATGTTCATATTTCTAGCAGATTTCAGTCCTAAACCACCAAGTTCCTTGGGCTTGCAAATGGTTTCCCAAGAAACCAAGTGTGTTTTCCTTTTTCCTTCCCTAGACCCCCACACAAAGCTCCTAACTTTTCTGTCAATGAGATCACAGATAGAGGCAGGGAGAAATGTGGTTTGCATAGCATAGGTGGGAAGGGCATTGAGGACTGAGGTGGCCAGGGTAACTCTGCCAGCCAAAGACAAAGTTCTGGCTTTCCAGTTTGTTAGCTTTTGGTCGATTCTGTCAATGATGTACTTGTAAGTGGCTTTGTTGATACGACCATGTAGGACTGGGACTCCAAGGTATCTTCCCAGATCCTTGGTGTCTTGGATTCCCAGCCTCTTACAAGTTTCAGTCCTGTTCTGGTTCTTGACATTCCTGGAGAAGAAAACTCTGGATTTCTCTTTACTGACAGCTTCCCCTGATGCTTGGCAGAAGCATTCCAAGCACTGGAGCACAACATCAGCCTGTCTAGGGTTAGCTTCAGCAAACAACACAAGATCATCAGCAAAAATTAGGTGGGAGAGGGCAGGCCCTCCTAGAGACAACCTAATAGGATTCCATTTCCCATTTTTAACTTCAATATCAATACAGTGACTTAATCTTTCAATGCACAAGGAAAGAAAATTTTTCTGGGCCAGTATTTTTGTTTAGGATCGGCCTACAATCAGTTTGTTGGGCTGAGCCCATGTAATATAGTAGTTGGTCTAAACTGTTTTGCTTTCACTTTCTAGTTCCCCTTCTGCCTCTCCCACTGGCCGCTGTGTTAAAGCACCAAAAGGCAAAGAGTCCCCATCACCGATGATCGGAACAGGCGATCTTCGGCCGGCGGCGATTTCTCCTCGATGTAATCCTCGACTAATCCCAATGCGGCTCCTCGGATGGATTGCCGTCTTTCTTTCATCCTTCGCCTGCCTCTACCTGGCCGACGCAAAGACGCCCGCTGTGGCCTTCCTTTCGCACTATAACAAGTACTGCCACAAAACCGTCCCGGAGTTTCCCGAAACCGCGAAGCCGATGAATTTGGATAATGGCGAGGACATGATCCTCCACTTCGACATTGCGTACTTCACGGGCGGCAGTCAAATCTTCCCAGGTAAATCGTCGATAGACTCCGATGGAATCTCGCTCTCTTTCCACCCGAAACGCCGCACTATCTTCGTCACTGAAAATCCCGACGTGCTCAAGCTCCAAGCGAGTCTCAAGTTCCACCTCCCTCCCCGAGGTTACTCGATGTGGCACAACAACCGGAATTTGAGAGAGATCCGCTTCCGAGGGCCGAGAATTCCTGTGAGGACCAAGGCCGTAGGGTTCGAGTTCTATGGCTTCTGGTCTAGGAAGACAGGGGAGCTGTGTATGGTTGGATCTGGATCCAGTCTCGGAAGCTCTCACGCTGTGAGTTTTGCTCCTTCTTCAAGTGTTGTTCTGAAGCTCAAGTACCCGGTTAGTGATCCAGGGAACGTTAGTAGTTTGATTCTTGGCTCTTTGGAGAGTGTTAGCCCTGGAGGGAGTTTGGATTACTTCGATCCTGTTTCCATATTGGCTGTTCCTCACTTTGGCGAGTATAAGTATTCGTTGATGAGTGGAGGCAAGGGAAATTGTTTGAGGAGAAGTAATGGTGGAATGGAAGAGAATCTTCCTCTTGAGTTGAAGGATCAAAGTGTATGCTTATCTCAGTTGTACCAGCATGCAAGGAGCTTTGAACTGGAGTATGGCAGCGAATGTAGCGATAGCTCGAATGGCAGCAAATGCAATCCTCTTACTGCTGATTCTCAGGGTTTGCCTGGTTTTATGACTATTCAAGGTATTAGATGTGAACCCAACCATGGTATGAGAGTCTTAGTTGGGTTTCCTGACTCTATTGAATATTGGTCTCGAGCTTTTGGTTATGGTAGAGTTTTCAACCCGAATAATATGCTACTCGGTGAGGGAGCATGGGATGAAAAGGAGAATAAGCTATGTGTGATAGCATGTCGAGTCTTGGGGTTTCACCGTTCATTGCATAATGCTTCTGTTGGCGATTGCTCGATTCAATTGAACTTGAGATTTCCCAAGAAGATGACGATTCAACATAGGAGTAATGTAGTTGGTCAAATTTCGAGCAGCAAGAGTGTTAGTGAGGCAGGCTACTTTCCCCCAATTGGTTTTCATGGCACTAAGAACAAAGTAACGGGTCTGCCTGGGCTGAAATATGACTACACTATGCTTGACTTGGTTGGTAAATCTTGTGCTGAAAAGAAAATCTCAAAAGGAAAAGGGACGTACCCTAGTCCTTATTCCTACGACATGAGATTTGATATGTCAGTGACCAACAGCAAGGGAGAGAAAGCCGAAGGTGATGCATCACCTTTTTTTGTGGGTGAGCAGCTGTTTGAGCCATACCGAATGCACAGTGGAACTAACAGTCGCCTGAATCTCAGTTACAAGATCAGCTTCACACCATCTTCTGATTTTGAGCTTGGAGATGAGATTTTGTCTAATAGGTCTGTTGATTTCTCGGCTGAAGGTACTTATAACAAAGAGAATGGTGTATTGTGCATGATTGGTTGCCGCCATTTGGTATCTCATATTAAACACCCTACTAGAAATGAGACAACTGATTGTAAGATCCTTATCACCATGCAGTTTGCTCCTCTGAATTCAAAAGTTAGAGCTGATATCAAAGGAAGCATTGAAAGTATGCGGGTCAAGGAAGATCCTCTTTACTTTCGCAAACTTCAGATATCTTCGCATTCAGTCTACATTAAACAAGCCGCAGACTCCATCTGGAGAATGGATATAGAGATTCTCCTCGTCTTAGTTACTAACACTCTTGCTTGTATCTTTGTGGGGCTGCAACTTTATCATGTAAGTAAGCACCCTGACGTCCTGCCCTTCTTGTCTTTTGTTATGCTTGTTGTTCTGACATTGGGCCACATGATACCATTGCTGTTAAACTTTGAGGCGATGTTCGGATCAACCTCGGGCAGACAGAATGTGTTTCTCGGGAGTGGTGGGTGGCTGGAGGTGAATGAAATAGTAGTGAGGATGGTTACAATGGTAGCCTTCCTCCTCCAGTTCCGCCTTCTCCAACTTTCTTGGACTTCTAGGCAGACTGCTGAACGTCAGAAAAGCTTGTGGCTTTCTGAGAGAAGGGTTGTTTATTTCTCCTTACCACTTTATGCAGCCGGTGGGTTTCTTGCTTGGTATGCACACCAGTGGAAGAATTCCTACACAAAATCATATCTTCGACCTCGTCAAAGGTTTTATCAGCAGCAGCATTATCCTTGGGATCATTTCAAGTCTTATGCTGGGCTCATCCTTGACGGGTTTTTGCTCCCACAGATAGTTTTCAACTTATTTCTGAACTCGAGCGAAGAAGCTCTTTCCTTGCCTTTTTGCATGGGAACGACTATTGTCCGCTTGTTGCCACATGCATATGACCTTTACAGGGCTCATAGTTCCTCCTGGTACCTCGACTTGTCTTATATCTATGCAAACCACAGAATGGATTTCTACTCCACATCTTGGAACATTATCATCCCTATAGGTGGTTTACTGTTTGCTGCAATCGTTTACTCGCAGCAGAGGTTTGGTGGCCGTTGCATTCTTCCTAAACGATGTAGGGGAACTTCTGAATATGAAAAGGTACCTACTGTCAGCAGTGAGGAAATGACTACATATAGTCAACACTGAATTTGCTTGGAGGATGGCGAAAATAGCAAAGATATTTTGTAGCTTGTGCACAGACAGAGTTTTGATTCACTTGGACACACTTTCCTTGAAAGAAGGTACTAAATAAAACCTTTCTCACAAACATCTTCCCAGGTACTATGTTTTCTGTTTTCCAGGCTCGCTTTGAGGAAATGGTTTCTGATTCAATCTATCTGAATATGGATTACAGTGGGATGAATGCATCATATATAGCAGATAACACTCTCAAGTATCAACGCTATTGGGATTCTTTTCCGACCATGAAAACAGAAAAAAAGGGAAAGACTTTTGGCAGCACAATTCTGGCGACGACTAGCAGAGTTGGTACTTGATGATGGGTTTTAGTTCGTAGATAATCATTTTTATTAGTAGATCATCATCTTGATTATGGCTGTGGTCAAATGATATTGCTATTTATCATTATTTATCAATCATCTTATTCTCTTCAAGTGTCCATAAATCTACTGCCATAAGTATACCATTACTTGCTTTTTTGTTCGATGAAGCATACATTTTGCAGAACTAGTTTGCCTAATTGCAGATGGTTACAGATAAGTGAAAGCGGTAACGGTATTCGACCTAATTTTACTTTGATCGCAGATGAAGTATTTGACTCTGCTTCACTTTTTGTAGTGGAAGAGTACTTCTAAAAATCGAGTCAGACATAAGCATTATATTTTCGAGAATATCGTGTATTATGCGGAATAAGTAATTTTTTTAAACCTAATTTGGGATCATAATGCGGAGCAAAGTTGGGCGATGAAAGGTTAATTTTGCAAATGTGGAGCAAAGTTGAACTATTATTATGTGTGCAAGTAACCTTGACTTTTGGTGAATGATGTTGGGATTATTTTCTAAAAACATATAGACAAGGCATCAAAGCTTCATTCCTACACAACAACAAAGAAAGGGGGGAAAAGGGCAAATATGGCGAATTAAGGAACATTAACATTCTGAATGATAAACACCACCCACCTAGGCACCTAACCCCCTCAATTCCCTTTCCCTATCTTTTAACAACCACCATACGACTCGATTTATAGCACACTTATCATGTCTATTTCTATTACCAAAAGATATGGATCCACTTTATAATCTCTCAAAAGAGAATGATTCCACAAAATTATTATTTATATGCTTTATAAAAAAAAACTTACAGTGATATTTTGACGACAATACTATAATTTTGTGATGGTATCTGGAACTCTCTACTTTTCCAACTTTTCTATTTAATATTACACAGCTTGAACATTCATCCCGGTAGTACAAGTACTCACCAATTAAGAAGGCACGACTGACAATCTTGGCAGGAGCGACTAGTGACAAAACTGTGATGATGATCCAATCGATAAGAAAGAGGGTACTAATTTAAGATTGGATACCTTTCAATTTTCTCCGATATTATAGACACTAGGAAAAGGTCATGAGAAGAAGTGAAAGTTCTCAACTATCCTTGACCCTTAGATATCTTGAAACTTCACAATGGTCCAAAAGCTATACACATCTTTTTTTGTACCAAGAACTCTTCATCTTTCTACATTATAAATTAATATCTCAAGTTAGGGCATAAATGCTTGCATAAAGTCTACTGTGCCTTTCACTAAAGACGGTTGTAATATATTCATTCAACATTATTGGCAAGCATATTTAAGCAAGTTAACCGTTATGAGGTGTAACTTATTAAGTCCAAACACATCTCTATGTACCACTAAACAATTGGTTATATGATCCCTTCACCAACACCCTCTCGGCCTCTCCCTAGTTAGTTCATGTTTTTCATAGGCTAATCTAACTAAGTTTACCAACGATTTCAGTTAGCTAAGAAATCGGTTTCATACCTCCCGTTACTTCATATATAGAGAATTTGTTACGTACATATTGGCTCATGAAGAGAATTAACCAAGTTTTAGATGAGTACAACAACAACAACTCTATTTGTGACCATCTTCCAAACGAATGTCGCAAAAATAGTGTTCACCAAAGACTCGAATTCAAAACCTTCTCAATCAAGACGTGTGTATTCATAAGCATAATGATTGAGAGTCAGAAAAGAAGAGACACTTTGAAGGGTATCTTAACATACTCAACTCGTTAGTCAATAATACAATAATAATGGCTATAGTAGTATTGTGTAATTCCCTACCCACCAACTTTAATTCAATAAATCGGCTTGGCTTATCTTGATCATGTTAATATTCCCTATCTAGCTCTCTTTTCCATCCCTCCACATCTCTCTTTAATCCTCTTTTTCAAAATATTCTCCACCTTATTTAATTGTTCAACTTCATATATAAATGATTAAGTCGCACGCAGCTAATTATCATCTTATCTCAGATTAAACATGAGTGCTACGACGGCTGGTGGTGGCGGGCTAGAACTGGGCACCGCCGTAGCGTCCCACCGGGGGGAAGTTGATGAAGCGCCGTCTGGTTTCCGGCAGCTCGCCGGCGGGGTTGTGGGTCTACCGGAAGTCGACGATGATGGCAAGCCCATGAGAACTGGTATGTTGCCCAATTTGTTGGAAATAATTACGACCGGATCTTTCGCGAAAACCGTTGTAGCTAGAAACGTTCTTTATTTTCTGTTAAAAAAAGTTTTGCTTCATTTTTACTTCAGAAGAAACGTTCTTAAACTATATATATTCTTTTATAACAAGCTCTGATACGGTGTTAAATGAATCAATGATATGATTAAATTGAAATTTTTGGTATGAAGTTGAAAGATGGAGAAATTATCGAATATAGTCTAGTATTAGTCATCACTCGTAATTTATGGACTTCGTAGTCAAGGACTCATTATTGATGCAGTTGAGTTGAAAAAAAGAAAGTTAGCGGAGTGATTTATTTGTTAAAATTTCACTGTGTACGATCCAGGACAAAGTCGTAGAAATTGAACTCGCGAAGATTGTTGTTTGTTAATTAGTAGTTGAAGTAGACGGATCTAGATGATGTTATAACATTAAGACATTAGTAGTAGTGTAGATGTAGATTAGTGATGGAAGTTTGAGCAAGAAGCTTCTAATTACCCTAAAGTTGGCCGAGCCATCACATAAATCGGTTTGCATTGTGATGCAAGTCTAGCCTTAATTATTATCGATGCACCTTTTTACAGCTAGATTGTTGGTGCACTACTCGTGGACTGACTATATATGTCCAATTGCTTATTTCATAAGTGTTAAACTTGTAGTTCTCGTATACCTCCCAGTGTCCGAGTCCTCATAGGAAGAGTTATTTTCTTTCCTTCTTGACTCATCTCGTTGTTACTTGGGAGAGAATACAGCGGTGCTAGGGTACAGAGGCGGTCAGCCTAGGTCATGTTCCTTGTACTATATATATTGCAGCTATAGCTTGCAGCCGTGTAATCTATCAATCACAGAAATCAATAACAGTCTAGACCGAGAGCTCATTCGAGCTCTCCGTGGATTAGTCCTGCTCACATCGAGCAGGGATACCACGTAAAACCTTTGTGTCGTGTTCAATTTCTATTCCGCAACTCTCGTTTTCTACATGGTATCAGAGCTGGCGGATCAATCCAGCTTAACCTAACTCAGAAGCTCCTTCCTACCGTCATCGTCGGCGCAATCTGAGTCATGTCCGACGAAAAGGAAAAGAGCAGCTCGTCTAGCATGAGCGCGGCAAGGGATGGTCCAGACCCGTCGTCGCCTTATTATCTCCACGCCTCGGATCAACCTGGACAAGTCTTTGTGGGAGAGCTACTTACCGAACTGAATTACGGTGAGTGGGAATCTGATATGCGCCAAGCTCTCTTGGCGAAGAACAAGCTGGGTTTCGTCACCGGGAAGCTTGTCAAGATCGAGGCAGATTGGCAGCTAGACGCATGGGCACGGTGTAATGCCATGGTCATGGGTTGGCTCAAGAGCTCCATGTCTCGAGAAGTTCGTGTCAGTGTCCGATACGCTGAAACTGCACAACAAATCTGGTCAGATCTCAAGGAAAGGTTCGGTGTGGGCAGTCTACCACGTCTCTATCAGCTCCGCAGGTCTATCGTCCTTCATCAACAGGAGAAAGCTAGCGTCTCAGGTTTTTATACGAAACTCCGTAGTCTATGGGATGAAATTCAAGCTATATCTCCTACTCCTAAGTGCACGTGTGGGTTGTGTACATGTGAAATTGAAAAGCGCATGAGAGACGCTGAAGATAGTCATAGACTATTTGACTTCTTAATTGGGTTGGATGATGTTTTTAACACCGTTCGAAGCCAAGTGTTGTCGATGAAACCTACCCCTACTCTTGGGGAAGCATTCCAGATGGTTAACAATGATGAGCAGCAGCGAATGATCACCAACACTCGGCGGCCCAAAGTTGAAGCCGCAGCTCTTCAAGTTCAAGGGAACAATGCTGGCCAGCAAGGAAATAATGTTGGCGATATGAAATTGCAAGGAAATCGCACACCAGAGGGACGTCCTTGGTGCTCCCATTGTCAAAAGGTGGGTCATTTCAAGGACAATTGTTATGAACTTATTGGGTGGCCACAAGAGCAACAAGGACGAGATCAACCAGCTAGTCGCGGTGGGCGGGGACGCCGAGGACGAGGTCGCGGGAACCGATCTGGGTCTCCTCGAGCTGCACAAGTCGAATCCAATGAAAGTTGTGTCCCAGGCCTTACCGCAGCTCAACTCGAGCAGCTAAGAGTCTTTCTTAATTCCGAAGCAAAGTCTGCGGCAACACCCACAGTAAACATGGCAGGTACGACTCCTTCATCGTTTGATCTTGTTCAAAGTTCATGGGTTATAGATTCTGGTTGTAATGAGCATATATCTAAAGATGCATCTCTTTTTATCAATGAGCTCGAGATGAGCAATGGTTTACAGGTAAAAATACCCAACGGAAAGGGAGTTCCAGTTAAGGGTATCGGCCAAGCAAAATTGGATAATGGCCTAGTTCTTAATCGTGTGTTGCACGTTCCTGAGTTCAAGTGCAACCTCCTATCTGTCAGTCGTCTAACAGCAGATCTTCCGGTTG